CCCCAAAACCCCAAAACCCCAAAACCCCTTTTCTGCGAATAAAAATTGAATTCTCATTGTTAATATCATCTCAGATTACTCGATTCAAAGAAATAATTAGTACAGAATTTATTGAGATTCAAATTCACTGTTGTCAGGGATTGCATCAACCTCATAGAATTCTTCATAGGGTATTTCAAGATGAGCTTTTACTGCGAATCCCATTTGTGGAGCTTCTGCATCTCTTCTATCCCATACTGTAAAGTATTTCTTAAGGAAAGAGACTCCGAGGACGATTGAGGGTCTTCCTGGCTCATTGAACACATCCATATCAAACATGTCGAGCTGACAGTATCCAAAGTCTTCAATTGTATATTCGTGATAGTCAAATTCATATGAAACTCCCCCTATCACATAAGAAATGTCAGGGAGGTCAACATTTTGCATGTTTCATGGAAATCCATATTGAAGGTCACTGCCACCAAAAATAGCGTTTGTTACCACATCGAAAGCCTCGCCTTCGATAGAGTTAGAGTTGGTTCCGGTGTCTACTAGTCCAATACAGCCTTCGTCTTCAGAGCAAATGCCTGTGGAGACTCCATCAATTAGGACGTCATCGACTTTGATATTCCAATGCTCTCTTACTTGGACAGGAACATAGTTAATTTCACCTTCATAATATTTGTCGAGGATTCCTCCAAAGTAGAGGTCAGCATGCTCAAGGTCATTATAGTAATATGTTGTGAATAAGGCTTCATTTAGAAGCCCTTGGTCAATCATGTTGTCAAATAAGAGACTCTCTCCATTCGGAGACAGTTCAGGGAATGATAGGCCAATTACTCATGAAAAGTTCGGGGTTGATCCATCATCTTCCGAAGTGACTAGGGCAATATCTTGTTGCTGAACCTCCATTGTTTCGATGTAGACAGAGTCTCGAATTACGGTTCCATCTAAGTATCCACCTCCGTAAAAGATAGTTTCAGTGTAAGCATTTGAATTATCGTAGGTCTCTGAATTGGCTGATTGAAATTGAGGGTTAATACCTCAGTTCTGATTGTCACATGCAAAAGAACTAAAACAAAGTTAAACCAAATGCACCAAATATTTTTATGAATTTTCATTAATACAAATTGAATAGGAAAAGACCTTTGAGGGATAATGCAATATTGAAGAGCAGAATAAGGGGGTACACAATCTTACTTTACAAACATAACGCTAGACCCTGTATCGAAGATACAGTAAAAGGTTTGTGGAGGGTTGCCTACTCCAACTACTGAAGTAAAACCATTAAAAGGAAGGTCTCTCATTGGAGATGAAACCTCTCCGTCACTTGTATCATCTCTGGCTTCTCCTGATTCAAAGTAGTCTTCAGCTTGGTACTTCAACTGCAGTAAAGATTTTTGGTGTTTATTTGGAATATTATATTGCTTCCTAGCGCTTCTAACATTGAGGTTATTATTAGGGTGTTTGACTAGTCGAAAAATCTTTCCTTTCTCTTCTACTCTGACTGATAAATCATTAAGATTTCCCTCTGAGATAGTTCACAACACTGAAGTAGATATGAGAACTAAGATAAGCAACAATATTGTCATTTTTTTAACAAGGATTTCCATATTTGTTATTTATAATAATTCTCAAAAATTCTGGTTGCATATGGGGTTTTGGGGTTTTGGGGTTTTGGGGTTTTGGGGTTTTGGGGTTTTGGGG